TTGTGTTTGTTTATTTAGCTAAGGATCTGTAACACTGACTTGCCTAGTAGATTTTCGTTATTTTAAATTACGCTTTCTATTCTACCGAGATGGGCTACTGTCACGTTTAGTACTTTTAGATGGTTTTTAATCGCATGTTCCCCTGCTACTTGTCTATTTTCTAACAAGTTAATGTGTTCGGAGATAGCTTCTTCGTCCTCCGTGTCCATGGTACCAAACAATTGCTTTGCTATTAAACCGATTCCGTTGACCAGTCCCCTGCGTTTACGTGTTGAGAGTCTTACGATGACTTTGATTCTTTTGAAAATTTTACTTATTTCTTGATCTTTATTCAGTAGTTCTGTATATACTTCCTAACAACTTACTTTAGTACTGTCGTGGACATCGCTATCCGAGCACATTTTGCTTGTTATTTTTAATGTATTATTTACTAGTGTGATCCGTTTTTCGATTGCTGATATGTCTATTCTAATAACTAATTTCTATTTTTCGTCTGTTCTTAACAACGTTCCTCGCTTTTCGAAGTAGAGTCCAGGATTGGACGGCTCGGACAGCTCGACTTTGCCATTTACTTTTTGAGTAAAAACCAATGTGTGAGTTACCAGTAAGGTTCTAGAAAAGAAAAGAATACTTTATTGTTTTAATGTTCATTTGACTTACTCTAGTTGGACTTAGAGTTGTTGAGATTACGGGGAGTTGTAGGACTTGATGATGAGAAAGATTCTTTTAAAAACTGACTAAGTTTATTAAATATCACTTTTACTACTCTTTGTACAATTAACGCACGCTATAACTGACTCCTAGCCGTTGCTATACTGCGGTAAACTCTCCGGATGGACTCGGAGCCACACAGTATTCAACAGCTACTCACGATCTGTTTGTCGTTGCTCGCGATCGATTTTTTAAAGGAATCGATCGCGACTACTCAGCAATTTAGCGACCTAATTGCTACTGCACGTAGGCCGCTGATGTTGCGTGCTGCGTCCGTATTCTACTTAATACTACGCTTAACAAGCAGTTTTCATTCACAACAAAATGCTGCTTGTTACCTTTTTTAAAACAAATCCGGGTTAATTGAGCAATGATGCGTACCTTCCGCAATTGCTTAATGGCCCGTACAAAATTAAACTAAATTTTACAACAATATATATAGATATTAAAATGAAAATCATCTCAGGCTCTGTAATCGTTTTAAAGTTAATAAAATGTAAGTCAATAAAGAGCCATCACAGGATGTTGTGCGGAAAATATGCCTGTGCATATAGTATATATACACATGTGCAACAAACGTAATCACATTTTTTTCATGTGTTTTTAAATTGAAATTTTAATACTTTAAATTTATATAGGATGCTAGTTTTGCATCACGTATACAAATGACCCCGAATATCCCCCGAACTAATTTTTTTAAATTGCAAAAAAATACTCCTTAGCCAGGAGTCGAACCTGGAATCTCCGTCTTTTCGGGCCGTCGCCTTCCCTGTTAGACTACCGAGGCACTTGGAGTCTCTCTCGCAATATTACATACAAATTGAGATGTTCTGATATACCGTCTTCTTCCGATTAGCGTATTTGTTTAAAGTTATAAAAATGAGAATCATCTCAGGCTGTGTAATCGTTTTCAAGTTAATAAAATGTAAGTCAAGAAAGAGCCATCGCAGGATGTTGTGCGGAAAATATGCCTGTGCATATAGTATATATACACATGTGCAACAAACGTAATCACATTTTTTTCATGTGTTTTTAAATTGAAAATTCTATCATAGCCAATCTCCATGGTGAATTGCAAACGTGGATGATAGTAGTGATATAAGGCCGGTTCTTACTCAGGAGCTCCGAGGGGGGTGCGGGGTATGACGTCCCAGGGGGAGGGGTGACGTCACTATGACGTCATGCGGGGGGTATGACGTCACATGGATGAGAGGGGGTATGACGTCACAGGGGGAGGGGGTATGGCGTCACTATAACGTCACGCGGGGGAGGGGGTATGACGTCACAGGGGGAGGGGTGACGTCACTATGACGTTACGCAAAGGCGTGGCTCTGACGTCACAGGATATTATGTCACGCGGGAAATGACGTCACTATGACGTTACGCAAAGGCGTGGCTCTGACGTCACAGGATATGACGTCACTCGGGAAATGACATCACGCGGCATTATGGCAACTTCACACGCAGTGGGCTCCGTTATGACGAATTCACACGTGGCAATATGGCCGTTCGACAAGTTGGCGTCACAGGATATGACGCGGCGGGCACCGGTATGGCAATATAACGGCGACAATATGGCGACTTCAAGGTAACAAAGTATTGTGGATATACGTAAGTTTCGTTATTGCCGTTTGTTCACGGCTATCTCTTGTTGTGAATGGACAACGCACAATTAATACGTTATAAAATATTCCAATATTTGTCCGCTAAAAAACGTTTAAGACCTATTTACATAAAACAGACGCGGATAGGAGGTCTTGCGGAATTAACCTGTCACGTTGGTTACTTGGCTGATTTGATTAACGTGATTGGCTACTTCCGCAAGATCTGCGATCCGCGTCTGCGTCTTATATAGAATGGTCTTTAGTGTAATCTCGCGCATGCGGTATATTCTATTGTTTTAGTTTGCATCACTCACGCATGCAGATATGCAAAATCACGCTACAAAAAAAAAGACAACCAATAGTCGCTGAATACTACAAATAATCGTGTCTTGTGCTCTTCAGTGGATAGCGAAGAAGACTTTTAGTGTTAAAGTAAGTTAGTTAAGTAAGTTAGATTATAACTATTAGTTTTAAAATATAATATTAATTTTATTGGCAGAATACAAATAATGGATAAAAAGCGATCGAGAAAAGACGTTGCATCTGTATCAAACCGACATTTAAAAAGATTGGCTACGCAAGAATCAGAAATTGTTTCTGATGCTTTATTAAGCACGACTGTAACGTCATCATATAATAATGTCAATTNTAAATACACAGAACATTTGGAAAATGTCTGTACAATTAATTCAGATATAATACATAATCAAGCTGCTGAGAATGCCGTAACCGAAAATGATATTCTTTACAAGTGGAACAAAAATAATGATTTATTACAATCATCCGTTAGCGACTTCTATAAATCAGAAATTTCTTTCATATCTGAAAATGCAACAGTTAACAATTTTAAAACTGATCTTGCTGTCTGGGCTGTACAACATCAAATTTCACATACGGCTCTAAGAGCATTGCTTCAGAAACTGAGAAATCATTCGTGTTTTTCATCATTATCTTTAGATGCACGTTCAATTGTAAAAACTCCGAGAAATCAAGAGATACGTATTGTAATACCAGGAACGTACTATCATTTTGGATTACAAAAATCTGTACTGAAAATATTAACTTCTATAAAGAGCAATGTAGATAGTATACAAATAGCTGTTAATATTGATGGTTTACTACTCTCAAAATCGTCACAACAACAATATTTTGGCCTATACTTGGTTTAATTCTTCCATATGACAAAGTATTTGCAATCGGAATTTATCATGGAACAGAAAAACCAGCAAATGTCAACGATTTTTTAAAAGATTTTGTGAACGAGGCTATAGACATGTGTAAAAATGGAATTTATGTAAATGGTTGTAATATTCAATGCAGAATAGAAGCTTTAATATGTGACACACCAGCAAAATCGTTCGTTTTATGCGTAAAGNGACATTCCGGATATTCTAGTTGCACTAAGTGCACTACAAAAGGAGAATATATAGGAAATCGTATATGCTTCCCGCAAATTGATGCGCCACTTAGATTAGATGATGATTTTATTCAAAAGATTGATGACAGCTATCACAAGCCAGATATAACATGTAGCTTACTAAAAATACCTCATTTCAAACCCGTTACAAACGTTCCGCTGGATTACATGCATCTAATATGCTTAGGAATAATGCGTAAATTAATATATTAAGGCTGGATGGAGAACTACATTATCGACTACAATATAGAGCCGTTGAAGAAATATCTATACGTCTAACTCAGTTAAAGCCATCAATACCTATGGAATTTGCCAGAAAGCCTCGAAAACTTGATTGCGTAAAATTATGGAAAGCCACGGAATATCGATTAATACTGTTGTATACGGGTCCAGCAGCTTTTAAATCTATACTTAAAAATAATGTATACATTCATTTTATGACGCTACATGTTATTGTTAGAATATTGTCTTCAAAAAATTNGCATGAACAACTGTCTTATGCACAAGATTTGATTGTTTTTTTTTGTGAAAACATTTATCAAACTTTATGGAAAGCAAAACGTGTCTCACAATGTTCACAGTCTTATACATCTTGTAAACGATGTCAAAAAATTTGGACCACTTGATAACTTCAGTGCGTTCAAGTTTGAAAACTACATGCAAGTGTTAAAAAAATATCTCAGAAAAGCGGAGAAACCTTTAGAACAAGTTGTACGGAGATGCATTGAAAAAGAAATTAATTTAACTACATCATCTACTGAATCGTCGNATTTCATTGAGATACATCCAAACTTAACATCGTTACATAACAATGGTCCACTTCTATCCAATTGCAATAATCCACAATATAAAATTATCAAGTTCAACAAAGTTACATTTAAAACTGGGACACTTGCAAATAATTGTTGTGGTTTAAGTTGTGGTTCTATTGTATCTATTGAAAACGTGGCACATTGTAAAAAGCAAAATATTCCTGTTATTATCGGCTACAAAGTTGTGGAGAAAGAAGATTTCTTTAAAGTTCTTTGTTCATCTTCGTTGTTTGGAATTTATTCCGTAAAATTTAGCTCAGAGTTGCAATTATGGCCATTGAAAAATGTGAAAAAAAGTGAAATTGCCATGCAAAAATAATAAATATGCAATCTTCCCATTACTACACAATGAATATAATTGATTAATATTCATTTATACAGAATGACTAATAAATTTTATGCAATCGTTGAATTTCAAGATGGACTACAAGTAGTACCAAATAATTGGTTAAGTGGAAACATAACAAAAGCTTTTTGGCCAAACTTTACGAATAATCTACGGTATGATAAAGCGGTCAAATGTATGGAAAAACCAGAATGTACTTAGATGGAGCATCTCATTCGGAAAATATATGGAACATTTTGTAAGTACTGTAACACACACACACACACACAGAGAGAGAGAGAGAGAGAGAGAGAAAGAGAGAGAGAGAGAGAGAGAGAGAATATATATAATATTAAATAATATTTTCAAAAAATGTATAATTTTTTTCAGACAACTATGCAGTGGCAAGAAGGAAGCTAAAAAAAGCCGAGGAGTTGTCTGATATTAATTCTGGCACTGACATAGAAGAAAATTTAAAAAAATCAAGAAAAATCAGAGCCGCTAAAGTAATGGATGAAACAAGTAACGATGAATTAACCGATAAAATGGAACTAATTTCAGAAATTCCGAAATATCCAAATAAACATTCCGTGACTGCAAAAACCACAAAAAAACCAGTACAAATTACAAAAGATTCACAAAAAAATAAGCACGGTAAAACAGTAACAAAAATAAATTAAATAACAATAACAAATATACACTAAATCAATAATTTAATAATAAAATACTGATTTATTACAGATTGTAATTATTCTGGGAACAAATGTTTAAAAAGGTCGCAAATAAAAATTAACTTTTCTATAGACAAGAAATTAAATAAATCTGGTATGATTTTCTGTTATTTATACCATTGTAGTGAAGTAATATATTGAAATGGTACAATAAAACTATATTTATTTTAGATTTGTATTGCGAAGAAAATTTGTTTGCTGTAATCGCAAAACCGTTTGTTGAAGATGATACTGTCTGTCCAGAGAATGCGACATTAAGTCTAAAAATGATTTATAAGCAAGGTAATATGCAAATAATTTCTTTAGTTTATTTTACGAGTATTTATGATATATTTTAGAATTACATTTGTTCTTAAATNATTTTGTTAGCTTAAAACTCAGATATTTTAATATTAAAATTATGTTGAAACAATATGAACATAAACATTTTATTATTTTTAGATCAGCAGTACGATCAAAAGTTGATTAATACAGAACAATCGTTTGATGATAAAAATAACGCGAACATACCAATTCCACCTAAAAGCAAATTATCATATTCATTAATTGATAAGCAAGGTATAATACAAATAATTGTATATTTATATTTGTATTACGATTTCTTACACTATATTTTTGAATTATAGCATCTTTGGTTTTGAAAATTGTTTTTACATCATCAAAATGTTACATTTCAAACATTTTTCTTATCATTATTTTTGT